GAGATGCTGCAGCTCTGCCAGGCTGGTTTCATTTTTAAAGGGCTTCGGTGACCATGCAGGCTTTCCCGCGGCCCAGGAGCCACTTAAAGCGGCCCAGCAAAGGCTCGGATGCAAAAGTTATTTGGTGGCGGCCGTTACTAGCGGAGGACTGGAGTCGCTTGGAGAGGGGTGTGTGAGTGTGCATTTGTAGCAGCATCTTAAAGGAGTAGCTTGTCTTCCTGGCTGGCTTTTTCCCACCAGGGTCTTTTCCCATCGTTTGTGTGAGTGAGTGGTGGGGATGGGTGTTACCAGAATGCCTGGATGTGTTTGTGAAAAGGAAATTAACCCTTCTCGCGCGCCATTCCCCTACCCCAATTTAATCGCCACCCCAATTCCTCCCATCCCCTTCCCCTCTCTGAAAACTGGGTATGTGTGAGTTGCACAGAGAAACTCTGTCTTCCAGCGGCGGCTAGAAACTTCTTTCCGTGCCCTGGAGGGGTGGGCTCATGGGGAGGGTTATGTGCCTGGACCGGCTTGGCGACAGCGTGGAGTCGAACCTCCAGCTGGGTGGCACGCAGATGATGGGAGCAGAGGCCGCGGGAAGGCGGGAAGAGGACCGTGGACTCGCGGCGTCCGCGGGCTCCGGAGTAAGTTGTCCGCCTGGGCTGGGGGCGGCAGCGCTGGGGAAAAGGATGCAACGAATTCCCCGGCGCTTTGCTGGGCGTCTTCTAAGTAAGGGAGGCGGTGCCAGGTGTGGGTGCACCCTCGGTGCCCGCCGGGCCTTTTTGAAAGGCGTGATTATTAATTGCTCCCGTGGCTTGCACTCAACTTCGGAAAGACAAAAAGCAACTGCGGGATTGCCAGGCACGTCCCCGTGCGATGCCCGCCGTTTGCAGCCCACCCGAAGCACGGACTCCGAACCCTTGGCGTCCAAGGCTGGGAGCTGACCGCCATCTCCAGACCCCCCCCCTCCCCCCGGCCCCAGCCGCCCAGCCGAGGCCTCCTCCTCGCGCCCCACCCCCCGCGCTCAACTCTTCGGGGCTGTCTGGGCGCTGAGAGGGCGTGTGGGGCGCCCGGGAGCCCAAGAAGGCTCCCATTCCGGGGCTGGGGGCACCGGGGCCGCCGGAAATGGGATGCTCACTCGGGCGGCCGCGTTGAGCGGGGCACCTACTGGACCGGCGCGGGGTGAGGGGGGTTTAGGGTTGGGAGGATGGGGTGGGACTGGAAGGTGATCGCGACCGGGAGCGGGCTCCCCTCTCCTTCCTGGCTCCCAGCACCCTCCCCTGAAGGCAGATATCGCCCCCCTCGACTGTCCCCGCTGGGAAAGGAGAAGAAACTTGGGGGTGGGCTGGGTCCTGGGAGAAGCCCCCAGCGCCCCCTCTCCAGGGACCACCCCCCCAGGGGCTCCGCGTCCACCAAGGCAAGTTTCCCACGAGGCGAGGGCGCAGCCGGCAACTCCGGGAGGAGCCTGCTTCCAGCCCAGCCAGCTCGAGAGGCGCTAATTCAATAAGACAGAAAAATCTGAGTTCAGAAATCCTGGTAAAATCTAATTTTCGGGTTTTAATAACCTGGCTTTCAGCCCCCCTCGGTTCCTGAGGACTCTTAAAAGAAAATAAAGCGCATTCATTCTATTTGTTTCTGGGAGCTGCAGTTTCTTAATAATATCAGGTGAAGATTTATTTTCCAAGGAGTAAACTATCCACCGGGATACAACCTCTTACTCTGAAATTTCCCACACTGGCTTCTCTCTCAGTGCTTTCCTCCTCGCTGTTCCGAAGACTCTTGCATCTCTCCCCCTCCCTTTTTTTCTGTTTGGCAAAAACTGACTGTAACATTCTCATGCTGAGCTCACAATTCCCTTACAATGCCAGCAACGCCCAATTGATTGACTAGTTGTAAACACATTTATTACCCACCCCACACCCCCCCGCAGATTTTGATGTTGTTGGCTCCCCCACCCCATTTTCCAGGGAATGCATGGCATTTAAGCCTGCAGAACTGCAAAGCAATGAATAGGCTTGCGAGGCGCGTTGCCTCTTCGATCTCGCGGGCCTCCGGGCCTCCTGGCCTCCGGGCCTCACTGCCTCCCCACGCCCGCCTGCGTCCAGTGCGGTCCAGGCCGGAAGCAGCACTCTGGTCCTGCAGACGAAGGAAGCCCGCGTCCGGGCGCACCCTGCGAGCCCACAGTCGGGCGCCCTACCTGGGAGTGAACAGTTAGGAGCCCGCGGCTGGAAGAATGAGTTAGGAATGTACTGTTTTCTGGGCAGCGCGAAGCTCAGACAGAGGCATCCAAACCTTTGCCGGCCGCGCTATCTTATTTTTACTACATTTTCTCAGGTTGTAAAAATAGTCTCCAGGCGGGTTCTTTCTGAGAGTTTTCTAGCAAGAAGCACATTCAAGGCTGGACAGGCTCTGTAACACTGTTTCTCTTGAAACAGCCAGAGGTGAGATGTGAAAATGTGTCCCCCTCGGCTCATTCATCTGCATCAAGAGCCCTTCAGCCAGAGAGAGGGGCAGGGGCTGCCTTAATGCAGATTTATGATGCCCCCAGCCTGGAGCTTTGGGGCAGGGGCTGCGGACTTCTCCTGGGGAGGTGCGGAGCGGCCAGCCCCCATTTGGACAATGTCCCCCGACTCCGGCTTGTCATTTTTGGCAGGAGTGCGTTTGTGTCTGGGTGGAGAATGGAGGTTCATGGAAACGTAGTTAACTCTCCAGGACCTTCTAGGTACAATGGCTGAAGAGTCAGCAGTTTGGGAATTTAGATGCAATAATCGTAGACATAATAACCAGAATTAATAACACACGCGTTTCTGCTGTGACTCATTGCAGTAACCTTTGCTCTATCGGCTAGTATTTTTGGCCAGATCCCACACTGGGGACCAAATTCCCCTGGTGATATATATCAAGTGTCCTGGAACACCCCGCACTATTGGAGTCGTGTTTTTCACAATGTAACATTCACCTTAGTTATGTCTATTTAGGGCTTTTAAATAATTACCGGTAGCTTAAAATAGTAAAGCAATAATCATAATGGTGACCTGTTTATAAACATACCCTCTAAGGGACGATTGCAAAATTTTGGCCTTGATCGGAAAAAGCTAATATGACAAATCATTGTCACTTCGGTCCAAGTCTTCAACATCCCTAGTTTCTTACAGTTAAAAATTAAATTCACCATTTCAGAATTTTGGAGATATATTTACTGGCACCCAGTTCGTAATTGTTGGCCCACGCGTGGACCATTCTTAATCTGAACCTGTCCGCACGGCCTCATTGGCACCTGTAATTACAGCCTCATCTACGGTTTTGACATTTTGACTTGTCAGGCATGATAAAGCCACCGTTCAGTCTCGGCTCCTGGGGCTGTTTTAGAAAGTCACTGACCCCAAACAGGGGCACTTCTGCTGACCCCAACACCCCCATAAATAGGGAGAAAGCGCATCACCTTTTTAATAATGTGCCCCATCTCCAAATGTGCATCTCCTATATTAATAAAAATAACCCAGTTTCCTCGGGACACCTTGCTAATAATGCAGCCTCATTTTTTGCACATTTTGCCAGAGAGCTTTTGTTCTTAAACATCTTTACTCCCCCCCCTTCTCTATTTAATTTGTTGCAGGTGTTGTTGCTAACGAGCTCTCTCTCCTCCCTTCTTACAATGAAAGACAAGCCAGACCCCGGGTACCTGGATGGATTAGGAGCTGAAGTCTCAGAAACTTCCTAATAAGTTGCCGATGGCTGCCAGCCAAGGTCAGCTGGTTCCCATTAGCGCCCGTCTCCACCAAAGCCGAGCCAAATAAGCTGCTCCCCAGTTAACACCTCAGTCGCTTTTTTCATGCTCCAGTCCAGCTGCACAATTGTTGTCACTTTAAGCCCATATGAAAAGAAATCTCTTTTATTGGTCCAAAATGCCAAGTCCAATCCCATAGAGGGAACGTGTTTGCAGCGAACAGGTACACCTCCTGATTTTACTTTATCTTTACAACGCAGGCCGGAGGGTTGTTTTGCAGTTGTGTTGAGCGCACATCACACATTAAGGGCCCTTTAAAGACCTGGGTTGATTGGAAGGACAAAAATTAAAAGCAATCTGATCCGGCCTCATGCCAGATCCCTGCGGATTTTCTCCCTATCCCATTTCCATCCACCGTCACAATTTGAGAGTCTGCCTGATTTGATCAGATTCCCCTCTGGGAGAGGTGTGATGCCAAGGTTAGGAGGACGCCAAGTTGTGGGCAACTTCTCGATCTGCCCATCAGCAGTCTGAGAAACGCTGGCTCTGAGTTTTCCACATCGGCCTCTTGGAAAACACAAGTTCCTCGCTGTTTGCAACCTGGCAGAGTCCCTGGGACATCCGGCCTCCATCGCCTGGTAGATGTGGCTTTTCCATGCTGAGGTGGCGAGGCCCTCCTGACCCAGTCGCCACCTCTCCGGTCCCTCTCTGGGCCTCGCCCCTGGGGACTGCGCCGCCATGCTGCACCTGCTGGCTCTTTTCCTGCACTGCCTCCCGCTGGCCTCTGGGGACTACGACATCTGCAAATCCTGGGTGACCACGGATGAAGGCCCCACCTGGGAGTTCTATGCCTGCCAGCCCAAGGCGATGCGTCTGAAGGACTATGTCAAGGTGAAGGTGGAGCCCTCCGGCATCACGTGCGGAGACCCCCCTGAGAGATTCTGCTCCCATGTAAGTCAGCCCCACCCCGCCGTTCTGTTCGCTCAGGCCAAGTGGGTGGGGGTCTGGGCCGGACCCTGGGGGTGGGTGAGCAGAGTGGGAGGACCAAGATGCAAGGTTGACTTTCCTGCGTGTAGGTTTGGGGTCAGGTCTCTGTCCCACCTTGGAAACGTGCCAAAGCAAAGGTGACCCTGAGGATGCTGGGGTCACGTGACGTGGTTCTTTGGGGTGGGGAGATTCTTGGCCAGGTGATCACTAGATCCTTTCCTCTTGAGAAAACCACAGTACTAGTCAGTTCCCCAGCCCTGCAGATAAGCCCCGCCTCTCTCGTAGGAAGTCAGCATCTGGGCGAGCGAGCAAAGTACTATTTGCAGCATTGCACTCTGACCTCCCTCTGTTCGTCCCTTTGTGGTGCCACCTCCTATTCTACCCAATCCAATCCAGCAAGCAGATTTGGCAAGCGAGGGAATGCCAAGCACCGAGCTGGCACTTTGCAGGGGAAGGTTTGATGGCAGTGCAGAGGGCATTCGTAAGGGAGGACAGAAGGGGTCAGAGCAGGGCGGGTGGTGTGGCTGGTGCCATTTCTGATTCCACCCCTATGTGCAGTGACCACAGTCACTGGTTAAGTCAGGGGGAAGGCAAGCTTTCAGGCGTTGTCACCTGAGTCCCTAGTTAGAGAAAGTTGGAGTCTTAGAGCCACGGAGTACATCAGTACTCAAGTAACATTAACAACAGCAACAACAATAACAGCGGGGATCATTTATACAGGCCCCTGAGTGTGGAGGCTAAGAGCTCAATACGAGTCATTCCATGGAGTCCTCCACTCAGCTGAGCTGGGTTGATTCTGTGTTGTACAAAGTAGGAATTTCAGGGGGTGAGCTCTGGACCAGTGGCATCTCTGGGCCACTACTCCATCATCTGTAAAGTGTGTACACTAATAGCACACACTCAAGTCGCTGTAAGGAGTAAGTGAGCTAATGCACCCTAAAATGCTCAGACTAGGGTCTGGCACAGAGCAAGCGCCCCTAGGTGTTAGCTATTGTCATTCCCATTGTACAGATGGAGAAACTGAGGTCCAAAGTCACAGCCCAGGAAGTGATGAAGCTATGATTTGAGTGTCTGGCTCCAGAGTCACTGAGCTAATCTGCCTCCCGAGAGACACCTTCCCACTGGGCAGAGCCCCGGGTCGGGCAGGAGGCTGGACAGGGCAGCCAGGCTGCAGGAGCCACAGGAAGGGCTCAGTGTCATCCTCGGGTGGCTGCTGCCTTCATGTGTCCTGCGGGGAGCCTCCAGGTCTCTGGGTTTATGGCTGGACTGAGCCGGTGTCCCCACTGGGCTCCTGAGGAGGCCTCAGTCCCGTGGGGCGCTTGGGTCAGCCTGGGAAGGTAGGTTCCCACTTGGATGGTCACTGTGGGTGGTGGCTGGGCTGGGGAGAGAGGGAGGGAGGGAGGAGAAGGCAGCACAGGGCAGAGTCCCACTGCACTGAGGACCCCAGGGCTTTGCTGGCTCAGGGACAGGCAAGGGGGCTGGCCCCTGAAGGTCAGGGCCAAGGCCAGCACCGGGGGAGCCCAGCTCTGAGTCCACACCTGAAGCTGGCTGCCCACCCCAGCTCACGTAAGGACTTCTCCACACACTCCCTGAACAGAGTCAACCGCTGCCTCTTGTATTAAGAGTCTTGACTGTATTTCTTCTTCTGAATATTAATCGTCTTAATGTTCTGGGGGCGGGGCCGTGGGGCGGGGTACCTAAATCATAAATCACTGGACCAGCTTCTGGTCAAGGCTTGAGGGGTGGAGATGACCATCAAATGCAAGTCTGAGGCCCTCTCCTGGCTCAGGATGCCCTTGGCCCTGGGCCTCCGCCCTGCCCCCACTCACACACAGAGAACCCAGCGCAGCTGCCGGGGTGGAGTGGTCACCCCGCCACAGTCCTAATGCCACCCAGCATGGGTCCTTGAGCTGTGCAAGGAGCATTCATGCCCTTCCTGTCCTCTCCTGGGAAGACCGGTGAGGAGGCGGCAGGGGAGGAACAGCATCTCCCTCGGTGTCCTGACACCTGTCTGATGGACTTAAATATTTCATGATGGGCTTCCATCCGGTTCTGCCCTTGATTACAAATGTGCAGCCAACGAGGATGCGGAGGCTGCCTAGGCTGGCTTCTGCAGGGAGGAGGGGGTCACATCCGGATGGATTCAAACCCCCCCACCCCACCCCACTGTTTATTGCAGCTTCCCTAAGCAGGTTCTGTGCATGTCTCATTAAATCATCTCTAGGATGCTTTGAGGTGGGGACTCTTCTAATCCCATTGTAGGGATTAGAAAGCATTGGCTAAATCCCGCCAAGGTCACTCGGTCTAGAGGGCAGGCTGGGAACTTGTACGTGGCCAGGACCCATGCTTATGCACCCGACGGCCCAGCCTTCCCTCTCTGAGCTTTGGTGAAGCAGAGATGATGGTGTAGGCAAGTCACAGTGCCAGTGGAAAGATGCAGCCCCGCCATGGGTGTCCTGGCAAGTAGTAGGTACTCCATGTGTGGTAGCTGTTATTTGCTTACTGTTGTGGCTATTATGTCCTTGGTTGTGTCTGGGCCTTTGTCTCTTTGCCTCTCTCCAGCCTTGGGGATGCCACGCCCTGTATTCCTGGTCTCAGGGCAGCAGGTGGTGGATGTGTGCTCAGGAAGCGTTCACTCCTCTAGCCACGGCCGGTGGCGCCACCAGGGGGCGCCCTAGTGGTACCCAGGTGGCCCTCTGCCCCCTTAGCCTTACAATAGCCCAGGGATTTCCTGGCACCCCTCCTGCGGCGAGCCTGTCCTAACATCCACCCAAACGGAGCATGAGCCCTGGGGCACCCTGAGGTTGCAAGAGGGGCCACGGAACGACTGCCCCTTTCAGGCTTCAGTGTGCAGACCCTCTCTCCCGCCTTGGACTTGTGTATTTCCGCAAGGCCACCTGAGAACTGAATTGTAAATTCCAGCCTGGGGAGGAAGGCGAGCGGGGAGGAAGACCAAGATAAATGAACAAAAAACCTATTGGCTCCAAATGCACAATGAGAATTAATAGGGCTGAGCTCTCAACCAAGGATTCTTGGGCAAGGGTGAAATTTCAATGAGGGCTGCGGGAGAAGGCGGGCGGCCTCCCACCCCTGACCCCCAGGGCCTGGCTGGAGAGGACCAGCCTTCTGAGGCTGCAGGGCCAGGGAGAAGGAGGGAGAGGCAGCGCCCGCAAGGGCTTCTCAGCCCCTAGCAGGACCCCTTTGGGATGGGGAGGGCACTGTTGGGTTAGGGGAGCAGCCCCGCAGAGCTTCGAAAGAGCGGTCGCCAGCCAGCTGCCTGCGCTGCCGTGAAAGGAAGGGGGAAACCCTGTCCTCGTGCCTTGAGGCTCAGGAGAGAGACGGTGAGAAAAGAGGGTGGGGGGCATAGACCAGGCAGGTGGTGTTTAAAATGATTCTACAGCTAGCTACACACTGCTGCCCAAAGTGTAGTCCCTGGACTCGCCTTGTTAGAAATGCAGACCACCCCCCCCCCGGCCCCGCCCCAGACCCGCTGAGCCAGAAGCTGCATTTTAACGAGAAGTCCAGGTAATTCGGATGCACGCGGGGAATGCTCTGAGGAACACTGCTCTACGTGATCTGTCAGTGATGGGTGATACTTACTATGGATGATGGACAGACAGGAGGCCTGTGGTTGCCGTGGGACCTTTGCAGGGTAAGGAGGTGTCGCCACTGCTGAAGGAGAAAGGCAGAGAGCAGGAGGGGTGGAGGTCCCAGGGGTGAGGGGTGAAGCTGGGAGCTCAGATTCCTGAATGTTGGAGACCTGGCGGAAGGTTCCAGAAAGGTGGTGTGCTATCCCGACAAGAGCCACAGGCCTGGAATCTGAAGACCGGAGCTTGCACCCCCGATTTGCTGCTTGTGGGCTGGGTGATCTGGGGCAATCTTTCAATTTTCTGAGCCTCAGTTTCCCCACGTAATGGGACATGGCTGCCTTGCCCACCTCTCCAACTTCCTGGGAGAAGGAAGTGCCTTTCAGAATAACTGAAAGCGCTTAAAGAGTGCAAGTTCTCTTCTAGGGTGAGGCTTTGATGGTGTCGTTGATCCAGTCTTGAGCATCTTGGTTTTTCCATGGTGAAATAGCTGAACGTTAAATGTTTCATCTAAGGAGACTCGAGCACACGGAGGTGCCTGGGTCTTGGTGCACAGGAAAACCCAGAGATGGTCACGAAGGCGTATCTTAGAGCACACGTCTTCCTCAGAACCTGCTTTGCCTTCTCTGTGCCTCTGTATACCCAGACGCAGAGCAAATGGCCCCAACCCTACCCCATGGGGTCCGCTGGGCTGATGACTGCAGAGGGCAGGTGGGTCCCGGGGGCCTCAAGCCCCTCCCCACCATGACACTGAACACCACGTGCAGAATCAAGGTCACAGATGCCATGCCTCCTGCCAGACCTTGATGTTCACGAAACGTTTCCATCCAGCAGCACTGAACTCACCAGCCCACTGGCTCAGGTCTCCTTTCCCCTATGCGTTCTGTCCCCAAACCCACAGAGGACAGCCTGGGGACACCCTTCCCCACCCCTCCCTCCCCTCCCCGTCACAGCCCTCCTGTCCCGTTTCCGGGGCTGAGCTCATGCCAGGTACAGCTGTGATGGGACAGTGCAATAACTCCTGCAAATCCAAATAAACAACAAGAGAAACACAGCAGGTGTTAAGGGTGGTGCACAACTAACTACGGGTGGGTGAGACTGAGACTTAACGTTAAGGAGCTTGAGAAGGATGAGGGCGCAACCCCCCCCCCCCCCCCCACCCCCGCACCATATGCTCTAGCTCACCACAGGGTTTCCTGCCTCCTTGCCTTGGCCCGTGCTGCCTCCTCCGCCTTCTTTGCTTCCTTCATTTCCGAGGCTTTCGTGTTTACCTAGATTACCTCATTTTTTGAGGTTCAGGTTGGACCCACCTCCCCCAGGAGGCCGTCCTTGACTCCCTAGCCCAGGTGGATTAGAAGGCCCCATCTGGTCACATCT